TTATCTGTAATAATTTTCAAATATCAGGCCTCTATCTGTAATTATTTTCATTTTGGGTCCTTATTTGTAATTATTTTCGTTTTGGGACCCTTATTTGTAAATTCCCCTATTTTTTATCACTTTATTTTAAAGCCTCAATTAAATATTACTAATTTTATACTATCTATGTTAAATAAAATATTATTGTACAATAAACGATACATGTCTATTTTAAAAATTAAGCTTGCTAAAAATCGTCGGTTTTCCATTAAACTCTCCTGCTTCTTTACTTTTAGCTTTGATAGTTTCAATAATTTCTTTGACTTGGGATTTTTCTAAATCATCTCTTCTTATTAAAATGTCTTCAATAAATCCAATTGGTATGTCCCCATAAATTTTTTTCAATGCATAATAATCTAAGAAGATCGTTTTGCGAGAACTTTCTAGCAATTGGTGAATCCTACTTAAGGTATCAAACGTACCTTTTAATTCATGAGAAGGAATGTGTTGTTGAAAAAATGTAAATGCAGTTTCGACATCTTTTCGTATTCTTATCATCACATCTGGCTTCTTAAATTTCGCACCTTTATTTCGCATAGCTTCAATGTATGCTATAATAAATTTTTCTAAAGTATTGGACATTAATCTATCCAAAAGATATTCATTCATATGAGTCTGAAAATCATTAGTATAATCTTTGATTGTTTCGATGATAAGTAGCATTGGATCTTCCTGGTACCATACTGGTAAATAGAATTGACTGAATGGTTGTTTAAGGTCATTGAATACCACGTCTAATAAAGTGTCTTTTGCTAATTGAGCAACATTCAAAAATCCATCCATGGTTGAGTTTAGATCAGCATTAATTTGTTTCCGATATTTTTCAGAAAGTAAAGGTTTCAGTCGGTTAACAATAGCTTCAGTAAAATCAGCACATCGGATTTGATCATTAGCCAATGCAATTACGTATTCAACAAATCCAGGAGGTGCATCTTCCGGTTTATCGACTTGCTTTTTCAGCTCCGACCTAAGTAAACTCATCCAGGTTCTCTGGGTCCCAGTCATAACATCTGCGCACTCCTTTACTACATCTGATAAAATTTTACCTTGTCCTGATTGTGCAGCAACATCTATTTGTTGATTCACCATTTGAAACATAATAACCGAACCAGAAAGGCCATATAGTAAGTTAGCATCTAATTCGGGAGCTTTATTACGCTCCGTAAAATCTCTCGTTTCATCATTCATCAAATTTCTCATCCATTCATCAAGCTTTCTGCGAATCAATTTGAGGTAATCATTAATCAATTCTTGTTCATTTCCATCAAGTAACGGAGGCTCCAAAATATCTTCAGAAATACGGAAATCTTTATTCATCTTCTTGTAATACTGACGAACCCATCTAATTAATCTTAGGATTGTTCCAGCATCCGGATCAGACTTGA